ATACCTCAGGCAATCTCCCTGTTTCGATAGATGTATTGAATATTGTTGTTAGGGGTACACATAGCACCTCTGCTCCCTCTCTCAGGACCCATGGAGAGATGTTATCCGGCCCCATTGCCTTTGAGGTATCTAGCTCACTCAGAAGCCTCTTCACTTCTTCCTCGGTTGTGTGCACCGTGTCCAGCACTTGGTGGTGTACCCCACCTCTCCATCTTCCTGGAGCCCCTTCTGTCTCCTCTGTGAACACTTCTTTGAATCTCTTGTTGAGTTTCTCACATACTTCACGTTCATTTCTTGTTGTCTCTCCTCTTTCCTTTCTCAGCCTGATTACCTGGTCCTTGATTGTTGTTTTCCTCCTGATGTGGCTGTATAACAGCTTCAGGTCAGATTTGGCTTTTGCTGCTATGTCGTTTTCATATTGTCGTTGGGCCTCCCTTCTTATCTGTGCATATTCATTTCTGACTCTATGATTGCTCTCCTTATTCCCCTGGGTCCTTTGCTTTCTATATTTCTTCAATTCCCTAGCACGACGAAAATAAATGGTATAAAATACCGACACAATGGAAACATAAACACATATGCAGTTTAATGTGATCCTTTATTGACAACGTTTCGCCCACACAGTGGGCTTTTTCAAGTTACACACAGATCTACCTGGGGTGGAAGGTACGGGAGTATTTATAGTCATGTTCAGAATGTTGAGGTCAGGTGGAGAATGCCGCATCTGATGATCTACCGGGTGGGGTTATAGAGTCTTGGGTAGCTTGGCAGGGGTATTGCACAAGTTGTGAGTAGACCTTCTGCAGTGTTCTATGTTCTTATGTGGGATAGCGATGAAGAAGTTTCTTGGCGAGTGGTTCAGCTATGTTATAGAAGCCGTTGTTCTGGTTGAAAAATTTTTGGTTATAGAGATAAGCGATGATTCCAGGATTCTTCGGCATTGAGTGTTGTCTTCTGTGGCGATAAGTCTTGAGTTTCTGTAGTTAATTAAATGGTTGTGTGAATTGCGATGTTGTACACAGGCATTCCTTGTATCGTCAGTCCTGCTTGCATATTGGTGTTCTGAAATACGTGTTTGGAAGTCTCTTGATGTATCGCCCACATATAATTTGTTGCAGTCATTACAAGGGATTATGTATACTCCTGCAGAGGATGGAAGCTTGTCCTGTCTACTACTGATGATGTCCTTGGTGGTCGTGGTTGTGGAGGTAGATACTTGGAATGACGTATTGGAAAAGATGTTGGAAACATGTTTGGCAATGGAGTTGGTGGGGAGGACTATGTATCTCTTCTCGGCAGTGTCTTCTCTGGGTGTGTTGAAGATGTTTAATGCCTGCCGTCTGCAGTCTCTGATGAAGTGACGAGGATAGTGGAGTTTAGAAAATACTTGTTCAATTATAGTGCATTCTTCCTCAAGGAACTCATTGCTGCAGATTCTGAGTGCACGCAGGAAGAAGCCTATAATTACACCACGTTTAGTTTTGGTGTCGTGGTGAGAGTAGAAGTGGAGAAGATCGTTTTGGTTGGTTGGTTTTCGATAGACTTTAAAACGAAGTTCATGGTCAGTTTTGCAGAGGATAACATCAAGGAAAGGAAGAGTGTTGTCGACTTCTTCTTCAAGTGTGAACTGGATTGAGGGCTCGACCTGGTTGAGCTTGTCTTGGAGAGCTTGAACGTTGAAGCGCCTGGGAGTTATGAGGAGAATGTCGTCAACATAACGGAGCCAGGTGACAGTCGAAGGAAGAATGGAGAAACGCTCGGCTTCCAGATGTTCCATGTATAAGTTCGCCAGGACGGCACTGAGTGGCGAGCCCATGGGTAGACCAAAAGTCTGTTGAAAGAGGTGATTTTCGAAAGAGAAACACGTAAAGCCGACACATTGTTCAAGGAGGTCGATGAAATCGCTGGCTTCAATAACATAGCTGAACCACTCGCCAAGAAACTTCTTCATCGCTATCCCACATAAGAACATAGAACACTGCAGAAGGTCTACTCACAACTTGTCCAATACCCCTGCCAAGCTACCCAAGACTCTATAACCCCACCCGGTAGATCATCAGATGCGGCATTCTCCACCTGACCTCAACATTCTGAACATGACTATAAATACTCCCGTACCTTCCACCCCAGGTAGATCTGTGTGTGACTTGAAAAAGTCCACTGTGTGGGCGAAACGTTATCAATAAAGGATCACATTAAACTGCACATGTACTTATGTTTCCATTCCCTAGCACACTTGGTTTGTGTGTGTGTGTGTGTGTGTGTGTGTGTGTGTGTGTGTGTGTGTACTCACCTATTTGTACTCACCTATTTGTGGTTGCAGGGGTCGATTCACAGCTCCTGGCCCCGCCTCTTCGCTGATTGCTACTAGGTCCTCTCTCTCCTTGCCCCATGAGCTCTATCATACCTCGCCTTAAAACTATGTATGGTTCCCGCCTCCACTACGTCACTTTCTAGGCTATTCCACGGCCTGACTACTCTATGACTGAAGAAATACTTCCTAACATCCCTTTGATTCATCTGAGTCTTCAACTTCCAATTGTGACCTCTTGTGTCTGTGTCCCTTCTCTGGAACATCCCGTCTTTGTCCACCTTGTCTATTCCGCGCAGTATTTTATATGTCGTTATCATGTCTCCCCTGACCCTCCTGTCCTCCAGTGGGCGTTAGGCCGATTTCCCTCAACCTTTCTTCGTAGGACAATCCCCGTAGCTCTGGGACTAGTCTTGTTGCAGACCTTTGCACTTTCTCTTATTTCTTGACGTGCTTGACTAGGTGTGGATTCCAAACTGGTGCTGCATACTCCAGTAATGGCCTGACGTAAATGGTATACAGAGTCTTAAACGAATCCTTACTGAGGTATCGGAACGCTATCCGTAGGTTTGCCAGGCGCCCGTATGCTGCAGCTGTTGTGTGTGTGTGTGTGTGTGTGTGTGTGTGGTTTTGTGTGTGTGTGTGTGTGTGTACTCACCTAGTTGTACTCACCTAGTTGAGGTTGCGGGGGTCGAGTCCGAGCTCCTGGCCCCGCCTCTTCACTGATCGCTACTAGGTCACTCTCCCTAGCCGTGAGCTTTATCGTACCTCTGCTTAAAGCTATGTATGGATCCTGCCTCCACTACATCGCTTCCCAAACTATTCCACTTACTGACTACTCTGTGGCTGAAGAAATACTTCCTAACATCCCTGTGATTCATCTGTGTTCTTTAGCTTCCAACTGTGTCCCTTGTTACTGTGTCCAATCTCTGGAACATCCTGTTTTTGTCCACCTTGTCAATTCCTCTCAGTATTTGTATGTCGTTATCATGTCCCCCCTATCCTCCTGTCTCCAGTGTCGTCAGGTTGATTTCCCTTAACCTCTCCTCGTAGGACATACCCTTAGCTCTGGGACTAGTCTTGTTGCAAACCTTTGCACTTTCTCTAGTTTCTTTACGTGCTTGGCTAGGTGTGGGTTCAAACTGGTGCCGCATACTCCAATATGGGCCTAACGTATACGGTGTACAGGGTCCTGAACGATTCCTTATTAAGATGTCGGAATGCTGTTCTGAGGTTTGCTAGGCGCCCATATGCTGCAGCAGTTATTGGTTGATGTGCGCTTCAGGAGATGTGCCTGGTGTTATACTCACCCCAAGATCTTTTCCTTGAGTGAGGTTTGTAGTCTCTGACCCCCTAGACTGTACTCCGTCTGCGGCCTTCTTTGCCCTTCCCCAATCTTCATGACTTTGCACTTGGTGGGATTGACTCAGGAGCCAATTGCTGGACCAGTTCTGCAGCCTGTCCAGATCCCTTTGTAGTTCTGCCTGGTCTTCGATCGAGTGTATTCTTCTCATCAACTTCACGTCATCTGCAAACAGGGACACCTCAGAGTCTATTCCTTCCGTCATATCGTTCACAAATACCAGAAACAGCACTGGTCCTAGGACTGACCCCTGCGGGACCCCGCTGGTCACAGGTGCCCACTCTGACACCTCGCCACGTACCATGGCTCGCTGCTGTCTTCCTGACAAGTATTCCCTGATCCATTGTAGTGCCTTCCCTGTTATCCCTGCTTGGTCCTCCAGTTTTTGCACCAATCTCTTGTGTGTGTGTGTGTGTGTGTGTGTCTGTGTGTCTACTCATCTATTTGTGTTTGCTTGGGTAGAGTCTTAGCTCCTGGTCCTGCTTCCCTGCTGTCCACTACTGGCTCCCCTCTCTACTGGCTACGTGAGCCCCATCATACCTATTCTTAATGTCATGCACGGATCCTATCTCGACCACTGCACCTTCAAGGCTAAAGAAGAATTTCCTGACATCCCTGACTTATCTTTGTTTTAAACTTCCAACTGTGACCACGTGTACCTGAGACCCACCTATCAAATAGACTCGGCTTGTCTACCCTGCTTTTTCCTCTAATATTTCGTACGTCGCAATCATGTCACCCCCTGATGACATGATTGCGTTATTAGGTTTAATTTCTCTAGTCTTTCCTCTTAGCTCATACTATTTAGCTCTAGGACGAGTCTTGTTGCAAACCTTTGCACTTTTTCCAGCTTCTTTACATGCTTTATCAGATGTGGGTTCCATACTGGTGCTCCAAGCTAAGTCTGACATACGCCGTATATAAAGTTATGAATGTTTCCTCGTTGACGTTCCTGAATGTTGTCCTGACATTTACCAGTCTCATGTTTACTTCAGCAGTTACTCGGTTCATGTGTGTGCCTCGGGAGAAAAGCTCCGAACTATGTTCACCCCCGAGGATCTTCCTCATCCAGGGAGGCTTGCAGGCTTTGTCCCCCCCCCCCGAGTCTGTACTCTGCTTCCGATCTTCTTTGCCCTTCCCCTAACATCATAACTTTGCATATGCTGAAGTTAAATTTCTAATAGCTACTTGTTACACCATTCTATCAGCTTGTCCAGGTCCATTTGTAATATTTTCTTATATGTTTCTGTTTGTATTTCCTCACCAGTTTTATTTCATCTGCGAAAGAGGAGAGATGGAAGAGGTGTTATTGAAAGTTGTCATATATGAAACAGTAGATTAATGTTTGTGTTTGTACAGGTGTGGTGTGACCAGACGACCAACGGAGGAGGATGGACGGTGGTGCTGGCCAGGATGGAACAAACTCCACAGGAAGACTTCGACAGGAACTGGGCTGACTACCGGGCTGGCTTCGGTGACCCATCCTCCGAGCACTGGATCGGTGAGTCCTCCAGATGTTCTCCTTAAACATTATTGTCCAATGTTGTGTTGGCCGCGGCGTTACTGCCGCCGCCGAGAAACAGTAAAATGTGAAGGAAAAAAGTCGAAACGAATTGAAGATAATACATAACCTCCGTCGAAATAAATTTGGAGGTCGATCCTACAATTGGACACGACTCTCCTTTTTTCTCTCATTTTCTTCCTATTTCTTTCCCTTTTGCTTTCTCTTTCTTCATACTTCATTTTTTTATTTTTCTTGCACATTTGTATTATTCTCCTCATTATTATTATTATTATTATTATTATTATTATTATTATTATTATTATTATTATTATTATTATTACATTATTCACGAGGAAGAGCTAAACCAGCGAGGCTTACACACCGTCAGGCAATGTGAACTAATCATGTCTGATCCTAGGAATTGGAGAGTAACTCCAGTTCTTTTGATCAGGAGCCCTTCACCACCGCCCTTGAAGGACGTTACACAGATGTATTATACAGTGATGATACAAAACTCCTTATTGTATTGCAACTGTTGTATTTACTCATTCCTGTGCATTCATATGAGGTGTTCAAGGTTGAATTAGACACATCTGTATAATACATCGATACGGGGGGAAGGACGTTCAAAATACAATACTCACACACTACAGCAGTGTGGGATCATACAGACTACAGCAGTCTTGCAATGCAACAGTGTGGGAATATGCAAAATATAACATTCATGCATTACAGCTGTGTGGGAACAGTCAAAATACAACGCTCATACATTGCGATAGAGTTCTGTGGGATTATTCAGAATAAAACACTTAGGCACTACAATACAACAGTGTGGGAATATATATCACTCATACAGTACAATACAACAGTGTGGGAACAAACAAAATACAACACTCATACAGTACAGTGTGAGGGCATACAAAATACATCAGTAACACAGTACAATACAACAGTGTGGGAACTGTGAGGCTGGAGAGAGGGGAATAACAAGGCATCAAAGGAGAGCGTGATCAGCAGCACAAACGTGACGTCTAGCAAGCTCTGACTCGCCAACAGAGACAAAGTGCAGGTAGGCTGAAGTGACACAATTTAGTAGCTACCAGAGCAGTTAGATAAACTCACGCTGGTTATAATGCGGTTTTACTGGTAGCAGGTGGCGTGATAGGTGCAGAGACGAGTAGGAAGATGTGGCAAGTCAGCCGTCAAGAGGGAGAGCAAATCAGGGCAATTACAGTTGACCCCAACTACACTAGAGGGCAGGCAGCTCACGGAAAGGGTGCATGTAACTGGACGAAAGGCTGGATTCGCAGCGCCCCTTAACCCCCCCCCCCAAGATGGTCGGACTTACAGCCATGTTTCATCTGGGTCGTCCCGATCCAGGAAGGTGGCAAATGCAACAAAATAATCTCTCGTGGCATAGTACCTTTACAATAGAACAAATCCTTCGGGGCAAAATCTCCCATAGCTGCATGGGTATCGACTGCGAAAGAAACTGAGGAATGTGCAAGAAATAAATGTGAAGGACTGCAGCCGCTGACAGCTTGGAAGGAACATCAATTGCAAGAGGTGCGACGGCAGCCTCATACTGGGACTGAGACCGCTAATGGTGCAGCGGCAGTCATCCAAAGGCGACCCAAGTGGCACACCATAGTCACTCCAGAGAGCATAGCAGGAGTGTTGTGAGAAGTGTCCTTGTGAGGAAGTTGTACTATCGACTCAGGTGGGTCATCACCAATGCTGAAAGTTAATATTACCGGGAGCGACACTGGCGACAGTCCTGTTTGAAGTTACAGCTGTGTAGAGTCAGCAGGAATAAGGAAATTCATGTATACAAGGGTACTCTTCCAGTTCTGCATATGACATGGACACTTGACACACCTGCAGCATTATTCTATGCGTGATTGTAGAGCCATGGAGAATATGAAGGACTCTGCTTCAGGCCAAAGACGCCATAGGTAGGTCATCCAAGACCAATTCTTCAAGAACTAGTAGAGGTCACAGATACAGGAATTCATCTTGTAGTAGGTAGAAGACACGCGATACAACTCATCCCGGAACAGACAGTTACAGTTCAGGACATTTATTAATAAATGTCCTGAACTGTAGAAGTCTTTTTCCACAACTTGTCGGTATCGCCATCCTATTTCTCACAAGTAGTACAACGTTCCCGCCCACAACACGTTCGGCACTCTCAATGCAAACATGCTTGCGGACAGGCTTGATGTTACGCAAACTGATGGTAATGCTGAGGTGTTAACTCGCCCTCCTGAGAGACCCGCCTTACCACCCGTCATCGCCCTGCATGTAACAACCACTTGATTCACGTGAAAGACGTCTGCTGTCTCCACATATTCTTCAACACCTTATTAGGCCCTCTCAGTCATACAGCTTTGAGTGAAAAGGAAGCAGTAGTTAAAATCGTTGGAGCTAGTCTATTCCATGACACAAGAGTTATCGGCATCAGCGTTAACTGAACCTTCAGAGATAGTCCTTCAGTGACGTCTCTAGTGTATGTCTGTCCGGCGAATTAGTGCCTTACAGTTCGTAGTTGAGGATAAAATGTTGTCTGCCTAGTTCCTTGTCATAGACAACATTAGGTACCCTGGTGACTTCTTGATTGGTTTCAAAATCGTGAAGATGGATATCACTATCCAGTCCAGGTGAAGGGTTGTGTTCAGAGACCTCAGCGTACCTTTCCGGGGAGTACAGTTAGGCAAGATCATGTGTCACTCGATCAACAAGTGCGTGTGCAGCGCCTCCAGTCCCTCGAAGCTGAACACTTCAGTAGTAGCCGCACTAGTAGCACAGACACCCACTCATCCGTGTCTCTTACCAGAATTTCTGTTACGCTGCCTCAAGATGAGCAGGGCGAAGGTCACTTTTGCGAACCGCAAAAGTAACTTTCGATAGGAGAGTGCTTTGCCCAAGCCTTGGTTCAAATTAATTTGATTACTGCAGGAACAGCACTTTGATTTCACGCTGGAAATCTAACTGCTCACAGCTTCGAACCCAGATCTTGTCCATTTTCACTGTCATGCCTGCAGAATCAAGGGTGTACATGGTGAACCATCCTTAACTACATACCACGGTGAATTCAGTCTATGCTGTCAGTGCTCATGCCTGAGACTTCCGCATGAAGAAACAAACGAATGTGAAGTGCTAGTTGACCGGCTCGTAAGTGAATGTCCTTCCAGGGAATACCTCTGTCGAAACTTCCAGGACCCGGCAAGTGATGGAGGGTGACCCAGCACCGACAGACGACCCTCAAGAAGTCCTTCGACTTCTTGATGTACTCAGTCGAGTTCGTGATCCTGTCACACTCGATGGTGAACCTGTGGGATTTGACCACACTCACATTACACCGCATTCCTTTGGAATAAGAAGTTAATCACATTTACATTCCAGCTTATTGTTTGCCCCAACCGCAGCATGTATTTGCGAGGACCCCGTTACAGAGGACTCCATGATGATGTTGATGGGGAATCGAATTCTCTTTGGTATGCTCCTCTTGCTCTCGTATCATAGGAGGATAGTATATAATATCCTCTCGTTGATTTTAGGAGACTCAATATCTGTACCATTCCAGATCGTTTTCCTTTGCCTTTTATGAATGATTTACTTCAGAATATCGGAAGACTCGAATGTTTTCCACTCTTGCTGTTTGCAAGAGTTCTGACAAATTCTGCAAGACTAACAAGAGGAAAAAGATACTTCCCATATTGTGTACTGCACCCCTACTGCATCCTCCATTAAAACCAATGCTGCACCCCTTGCCCCTGCCCCTCTTAGCAACACCCTTCACCCCTGCCTCACCTCCCTGCTGCCCCCACAATCTCCCCCTTCACCCCTGCCTCTCCTCTTGTTATTCATTTCCATCACACTTTTAAGAACACTTTCTCAACTTTCCCTTTTTTTTATATATTCCATGCATTTATCCTTATTATGTACCATGGATTTAACCAAATTAGTTTAGTTTAAGGTAGGTTAATTTACTGTTCGTTTAGGCTAGTTTATTGTGCACACCATATACATTCTGTGGACGGTAGTGGTTATCCTCACATACATCTTGCTTATTTTTCTTCTTTATACTCTTAATGACGTTGTAGCTGGCCAGTAGAAGTAATGTAAGACAGTGTTAACTCTCCTTGACTGGACAGTGGTTATAGGATACACAAGGCATTCCTAGTTAGTGTCGGGGACAACAAGTGATGAATGAAGAAGGAAACTGGAAGGTGAATCATTCAGTTTTCTTTCTTTAGGGAAAAAATAGTAATCTAAACACTAACAGGGAATGAAGTCTAAAGATATGGATAATAATCTTAACATACATACCTTTACTGTATAACTATTAAAAATATATGAAACATTAATCCTTACTGAAGCATTTATAAAGAGTGAAAATATAAATCCAAGTGACCAGTCCAACATACGAATTCAGAGAGGTATTTGGTGGCTGCAGTAATCTGAACTAGTACACAGCTCCGCAGTGTACACTTTTCATGCAATGTACACTTGTCACGTGCTAGGTCGTGAAGGTTTACAGGTTTTGGGTATTGTGTGGTTTAAATGTTATAAAATACTAATTACAGAGGGGGCCACTAGGAAACCTAGCATGGCTAGGCATTTCGAGCAGACTTAGATTAATTCTGAACATTAAATCCTTACAGATTATAGTATTAAGGCTAAGTGACTACATCATAATTTGTGAGTTTAGCAATGTGAATGCTTTTGTTTTGGCACAATACAAGGTGTCTGTATTTGAGTATCATAGGCAAACTTATGACTAGTTAGGATTTATTATTTTAAGATTAAGATTAGTATTTCTGGGTTTATAGTCAGTGGGTGAGTGAGTGTAATTTTGAACCACCAGGTGGCTATCATGTAGTTAGTTGTCGGGGTGGATCAGGAAGATAAGATGTTTTCTAACTCTAGTTTTGAAAGTGATGAATGTGTCTGCAGTTCTAGAGTTTTCAGGTAGGGTGTTCCAGATTTTAGGTCCTTTGAAATACAACAATGCAGTGTACACTTGTCATGCAGTCTACACTTGTCATGCAGTCTACACTTGTCATGCAGTCTAAACTTGTCATGCAGTCTACACTTGTCATGCAGTCTACACTTGTCATGCAGTCTACACTTGTCATGCAGTCTACACTTGTCATGCAGTCTACACTTGTCATGTAGTGTACACTTGTCATGCAGTCTACACTTGTCATGTAGTGTACACTTGTCGTGTAGTGTACACTTGTCATGCAGTCTACACTTTTCATGCAGTCTACACTTGTCATGTAGTGTACACTTGTCATGCAGTCTACACTTGTCATGTAGTGTACACTTGTCATGTAGTGTACACTTGTCATGCAGTCTACACTTTTCATGCAGTCTACACTTGTCATGCATTTCTACACTTGTCATGTAGTGTACACTTGTCAGTGGCAGTCTACAACTTGTCATGTAGTGTACACTTGTCATGTAGTGTACACTTGTCATGCAGTCTACACTTTTCATGCAGTCTACACTTGTCATGCAGTCTACACTTGTCATGTAGTGTACACTTGTCATGCAGTCTACACTTGTCATGTAGTGTACACTTGTCATGTAGTGTACACTTGTCATGTAGTGTACACTTGTCATGCAGTGTACACTTGTCATGTAGTGTACACTTGTCATGTAGTATACACTTGCCATGTAGTGTACACCTGTCACGTAGTATACACTTGTCATATAGTGTACACTGTTATGTAGTGCACACTTGTCATGCATTGTACACTTGTCATGTAGTGTACACTGTTATGTAGTGTACACTGGTCGTGCAGTGTACACTTGTCGTGCAGTGTACACTTGTCATGTAGTGTACACTGTTATGTAGTGTACACTGGTCATGCAGTGTACACTTGTCATGCAGTGTACTCCTGTATGTAGTGTACACTTGTCATCTTGTCATGCAGTGTACACTTGTCATATAGTGTACACTGTTGTGTAGTGTACACTTGCCATGCAGTGTACACTTTTCATGCAATGTACACTTGTCACGTGCTAGGTCGTGAAGGAGGATCACAGATTTTTGATCAAGTACATAGTTACCTGGCGGCTGACATGCTCCAGCTATAGTATGGTCTGGGTCACTGTAATTTCTGTGTCCCGTCAACCCCTGGTTCCAACACTGAATATCAGCCGTAACTGTCAGTGGTTCTCAAGACAACCTCTTCTGTGCTACGACAACCCTGGCCAATGAATACTGAACGTCCTGTTGAGCAGTCATGCAGTGTATACTTGTAATGCAGTATATACTTGTCATGTAGTGTACACTTGTCATTCAAGTTTTTCAATTCAATTCAATTCAAGTTTATTCTCTATAATGGTTACAATGTGGGGTTTACAGATTTTGGGTATTGTGTGGTTTAAATGTTATAAAATACTAATTACAGAGGGGGCCACTAGGAAACCTAGCATGGCTAGGCATTTCGAGCAGACTTAGATTAATTCTGAACATTAAATCCTTACAGATTATAGTATTAAGGCTAAGTGACTACATCATAATTTGTGAGTTTAGCAATGTGAATGCTTTTGTTTTGGCACAATACAAGGTGTCTGTATTTGAGTATCATAGGCAAACTTATGACTAGTTAGGATTTATTATTTTAAAATTAATATTAGTATTTCTGGGTTTATAGTCAGTGGGTGAGTGAGTGTAATTTTGAACCACCAGGTGGCTATCATGTAGTTAGTTGTCGGGGTGGATCAGGGAGATAAGATGTTTTCTAACTCTAGTTTTGAAAGTGATGAATGTGTCTGCAGTTCTAGAGTTTTCAGGTAGGGTGTTCCAGATTTTAGGTCCTTTGAAATACATTGAATTTTTGTAAAGGTTTAGTCGAATACGGGGAATGTCATAGAGATGTTTGTGTCTGGTGTTATGCCTGTGGATCCTGTCACAAATATCAAGAAAGCGTTTTAGGTCAAGGTTAATATTGGAATTTAAGGTCCTGTAGATATAGATTGCACAGTAGTAAGTGTCGATGTTCTGAACAGGGAGTAAGTTTAGATCTATGAAGAGTGGGGGGGGGGTGTTGCCAGGGATGGGATTTAGTGATTATTCTTACTGCGGCTTTTTGTTGGGTTATTATTGGCTTTAGGTGTGTTGCTGCAGTTGAACCCCAAGCACAGATAGCATAAGTGAAGTATGGATATATAAGTGAATGGTATACTGTGAGAAGGGCAGTTTGCGGTACGTAGTATCGTATCTTGGAGAGGATCCCCACCGTTTTGGATACTTTTTTTGTTATGTGTTGGATATGGGTGCTGAAATTTAGGTTGTTGTCGAGGTATAGGCCAAGGAACTTGCCCTCATTATGTCTGGCAATTAGAGTGTTGTCGATCTTAATGCTAAGTTGCTCAACACCTGCTCTGCTACCAAACATAATGTAGTAGGTTTTGCATGTAGTGTACATTTGTCATGCAGTGTACACTTGTCATGCAGTGTACACTTGTCATGCTGTCAGTATAGCTACTGAATTCCCATACTGTACTTGTGTAGTATATTGTAGATCGTATCCATGTATATATTTAGGCTCCCTTTCAGTAAGCTCAGTGACTAGCATGTGTGACGTCACGTGATGCCGTCGCGAGCGCGCCTCGATCTCAGTTCCCCGTAGGCCTAGCAGGTGATAGGATAAGCAGTTTGGGCTCTCCCCTCTCACACTCTGCTAATATGTGTTAACATCCAACGACTGTGTTTAACTCCAACCATCAAATCTCAACGAACCCTTTACAACAATGCAGTGTACACTTGTCATGCAGTGTACACTTGTCATGCAGTCTACACTTGTCATGCAGTCTAAACTTGTCATGCAGTCTACACTTGTCATGCAGTTACATTGTCGCATTACACTTGTCATGCAGTCTAACTTGTCATGCAGTCTACACTTGTCATGCAGTCTACACTTGTCATGCAGTCTACACTTGTCATGCAGTGTACACTTGTCATGCAGTCTACACTTGTCATGCAGTCTACACTTGTCATGTAGTGTACACTTTTACATGCAGTCTACACTTGGCATGTAGTGTACACTTGTCATGTAGTGTACACTTGTCATGTAGTGTACACTTGTCATGCAGTGTACACTTGTCATGTAGTGTACACTTGTCATGTAGTGTACACTTGCCATGTAGTGTACACCTGTCACGTAGTATACACTTGTCATATAGTGTACACTTATTAGTGGTGACACTTGTCATGTATTGACACTTGTCATGTAGTGTACACTGTTATGTAGTGTACACTGGTCGTGCAGTGTACACTTGTCGTGCAGTGTACACTTGTCATGTAGTGTACACTGTTATGTAGTGTACACTGGTCATGCAGTGTACACTTGTCATGCAGTGTACTCCTGTATGTAGTGTACACTTGTCATCTTGTCATGCAGTGTACACTTGTCATATAGTGTACACTGTTGTGTAGTGTACACTTGCCATGCAGTGTACACTTTTCATGCAATGTACACTTGTCATGCGGTGTACACTTGCCATGCAGTGTACACATGCATGTATTGTACACCCGTATGTAGTGTACACTTGTCATGCAGTGTACACTTGTCATATAGTGCACACTGTTATGTAGTGTACACTTGTCATGCAGTGTACACTTTTCATGCAGTGTTCACTTGTCATGCAGTGTACACTTTTCATGCAGTGTACACTTGTCATGTAGTGTATACTGTTATGTAGTGTACACTTGTCATGTAGAGTACACTTGTCATGCAGTGTACAATTGCCATGTAGTGTTCATTTGTTATGTAGTGTACACTTGTCATGCAGTGTACACTTGTCATGCAGTGTACACTTGTCATGTAGTGTACACTTGTCATGTAGTGTACAGTGATCATGTAGTGTACACTTGTCATGTACACTTGTCATGTAGTGTACACTTGTCATGTAGTGTACGCTTGTCATGTAGTGTACACTTGTCATGTACACTTGTCATGTAGTGTACACTTGTCATGTAGTGTACACTTGTCATGCAATATACACCTGACATATAGTGTACAATTGTCATGTAGTGTACACTTTTCATGCAGTGTACACTTGTCATGCAGTCTACACTTGTCATGTAGTGTACACTTGTCATGTAGTGTACAATTATCACGTAGTGTACACTTGTCATGCAGTGTACACTTATGTAGTGTTCACTTGTCATGTAGTGTACGCTTGCTATGTAGTGTACACTTTTCATGCAGTGTTCACTTATCGTGTAATGTTCCCTTGTCATGTAGTGTACACTTATCATGTAGTGTTCACTTGTCATGCAGTGTACACTTGTCGTGTAGTGAACACTTGTCATGTAGTGTACGCTTGCTATGTAGTGTACACTTGTCATGCAGTGTTCACTTATCGTGTAATGTTCCCTTGTCATGTAGTGTACACTTATCATGTAGTGTTCACTTGTCATGCAGTGTACACTTGTCGTGTAGTGAACACTTGTCATGTAGTGTACACTTGTAGTGTACACTTGTCATGCAGCGTACACTTATGTAGTGTTCACTTGTCATGTAGTGCACATTTGTCATGTAGTGTACACTTCTCATGCAGTGTACACTTGTCATGCAGTGTGCACTTGTCGTGTAGTGTTCACTTGTCATTCAGTGTACACTGATCATGTAGTGTTCACTTGTCATGCAGAAAACACTTGTCATGTAGTGTACACTTACTACAGCCCTACAGAGAGTATAGACACACTAGACGCTATATTAAAACACGATGTTCTTCACAGGACTAGAGACACTGCACGTCATGACCAAGGGAAGGGACCATGAGCTGAGAGTCAACATTACTGATTGGAACAACAGTTCTGCTTGGGCAGAGTGGAAAGATTTCAGGTAAGGCACTTAGTGTGTGTTTCAGGTAAGGCACTTAGTGTGTGTTTCAGGTGAGGCACTTAGTGCATGTGTTTTTTTCAGGTGGGGCACTTAGTATAGGTGTGTTTCAGGTGATTCACCTAGTGTAGGTGAGTTCTCCTGGCGTGGTATGACTGGTTGACTGCATTTAAAGACTCTCTCTACACGAGGTTCATTAAACCTCAGTCAGGAATACTTTAATACCTCAGTGTGTATATATATACTTGTCAAGGTATTACTTTATAATTTCTTGTTCTTTGTTGTCTGCGTTATTTCGACGAGTACGTCACTAAATATACACAGTAAATCGTGTAAAATATTAACACTGCGTCCAGTGTTGAATGTACATTTGAGTATGAATGGAGGCAGATACAGGGAGGAACGCAGCTCTTATGCTCTAAAATAAATTCTACAAAGTCACGCTGAGAGGAATATATCTCTTAGCGTACATTGTATATTCTGAGAGTTTACTTTAAACCCTATTTTAGAGATTAAAGTGTTCTTGTCTGTTAGTGGAAAGTTTACCTACAGCCTTAATCACACTAGTGTGGTAGATAGGGTTTAAACTCCATTAACCATTCAAGAAAAGCCATAACTCCCAGTTTAGGGTTAGATTAAAACCGCTATATTAGTCATCAGAAGCACTGAAAAATATCTTAATACTATATAATAATTTATATAAGAGTTGTGTATATAAAGATAAATCAGTTAAATTGATCCTACTTATTATAAACCTCACCTAATTATGACCTTAATGTCAGGATTAGGTTAGGTCAGATTTGCTAGGAAACAGAATAAGAGTTTCCTGATGCGGGTCTTAGTCATATGATGACGCACAACTGAAGTTTTTGGTCATCTGACCGAGGCCTTCCACTGGCTTACCTCTCCACCCCTTTAAAAATTGTGGTTATAATAATAACCATTTTGATCTTCAGTTATTAAATCTGATACACATTTATAACTATATTATCTAATAAATGGCACGATAAATTAGGAAAAAATAATTCAGTAATTTGAGAATTTTCAAAAAAAAAAAAAAAAAGGAGTCGCCAAATTTTGGTTGTACAAACTTCATTAAACTTTCTTAGAAACATTAAATTTCAAACATCTAAACACTGAAAAGTTCTTAATTAAAAAAACAACGTTCTCAAAGTCAAAATCATTTTTTTAATTGCTCAAAATTGAGTAGTAAATGATAAACGAGATGAGTAAATAAAATAAGAGATTGATGAAGCACGTGTGGGAAGAACGCTTATTAATAATTGGAAAGAAAATCAGCATCGTAGAATCTAGTAACTATTATTATTATAATCAAATAAAGTGCTAAACCGACAAGGGTCATGCAGCGCTGCGGGACAGAAAATATTGCGGGGCTATAAACAGCTAGTTGGAGAGGGAATCACAGGTGAAGGGAGAAAAGGGTTGGAAGGGATGTTAAGGGTTGTGTGTCAAAGTTCGTATAGTAAAGCAGTTGCTGACAAGAAGTCCAAAAGTGATCGTAAGTCAAAGGCAGAGCCGTCTGCAAGAAGGGAAGATAAGGTAAGAGTGGCAGGGCAGCAGTATCGGTGGAGGTAAATCCTGAGAGCTCGCTGGTAAACTGGACAATCCACGAGAAAGTGAAGAACCGAAATAGGGACCTGACAAACCTCACAGAGAGGGATAGGTTATCATTCCATAAGGTACCCATGGGTAAGGCGAGTATGGCTGATGTGGAGACAGGAGAGCGCAGCCTCCCAAGTACAGCAACGGTGGTAAGAAGATGGTCACAAACCCAGAAGTGGTTTAATAGAGTGCAATTTGTTATGGTGCATATCTGACCACTGTTGTTGCCAACGGCTGCAAAGACGGGTAGAGATGACGGTAAAATAAACCCTGAACGGAATACCTCTGTAGGAAACCAGAAGATCATACACCGCTGACCATGCAGCAGCGTCCACCTGTTCATTGCCCCACACATCATGTCCAGGGACCCAACAGAAAACGACGTCTTTGTTTTTGCTAGCTACATGGTGCAACCAAAATTGAATACAAAGGACCAATGGATGAAGGGAATCAAATTGTTTAATGGCCTGAAAAGCACTGAGGGAATCCAAAATGATCACAAATGCTTAAGGAGACATACATGTAATGCATAATACAGAGAAGCGCTATGAGGATAGTATACAACTCAGCAGTAAAAATGCTAGCTGTGTCTAACAAGTGACCTCAGACATCATCATCAGGGAACACCGTCGCAAACCCAACACTGTCAGAAGATTTAGAACTGTCTGTATAAGCAGCGACGACACGGGTATTTGACCAGAAGTGATAAAAAAAAAAGAGAGCGAGAAGCAGCCGTAGATAGGAGAGCTTTGGCGCACGGCAGTAGGGGAGAACAGACAAATCATCGGAACCTCCCAAGGAAAAAGGGAAAAGGCAGATGCTATATGAACATACAAGGGAGGATGGAGTAAGCAGGGGCGCTGATCAAATAAGAGGCTTCTACTATCATCTGACACCAACCAATACGTAGAAGGAACCCAGAGGTCATGAGAGTGGACAAAGTAATGAAGGCAATGAGCATCACAATGATCAGCTAAGGCAGGGACATTCGCCTCAGCATAGAGGCTTTCAACAGGGAATGAACGAAAGGCACCAAGGCATAAATGTAGACCATGATGATGAAGGGATCTAATTTAGAAAGAGTTGCAAGAGAAGCCAAAGCATAGACTTGGTCACCATAATCCAGCTTTGACAAGACTAGGGCAGAATGCAAATAGAGTAGAGTCTGGCGATCTGCTCCCCATGAACGATGCGCAAGAATTTTAAAGAGGCTCAGCCGACCATGGCAAGCTGCCTTCAAAGGGGAAATGTGAGGTTTCCATGTCAACCGATGATCGAATGGAAGGCCAAGAAACTTGACTGTATCACATTCCAGGATACGTTAGCCGTGCAAATACAATGGAATATCTGGGACATGATGACATCTAGTGAAGGTAATGAAATGGGTTTTTGCACTAGAAAATTTAAATCCGTGAAAAGTGGTTCAGTGAGAAACATGGTCAATTGCAACCTGAAGAGAGGCTGCTACCAGCCGACAGTCAGCACCTTGTAGGACTCCCTCGGTCTGAACAAAGTCTGAGGAAAGTGAGGCGCCAACACGGACACAAAAATGTCTTTCAGATAAGAAAGAAGGTCAGTAGATTACCGCAGAGGCCTAAAGAGTGGGCCTGGACTAAGAAGTAAGAATAATAATAGAAGTAAGAATAATAGGAAAGTGATCACTGTCATGTCAATCCGGGAGAACAGATTAAGCGTAATCAAGTGCAATTGACGAGGAGCAGATAGAAAGATCAATGCAAGAGACTGAGTATGAGAGTTAAAAGGGGTGGGAGCATTCATGTTTAAAACATGAAGAGGATGAGAAGTGAGAAGAGCCTCCAACTGATCACCACAAAAGTCACAGTGGGACCCTCCCCAAAGATGATGGTGAGTGTTAAAAACCACCTAATAACAAGATGGGCGACAGCAGAGATCAAGAACGCAACATCTAAGATACGGAATGCACGGGAAGGGGAGAGATATAGAGAGCAAAATGTATACCACCTGTGCAAATAAATATGGGTTGCAGTATAATGCAGCTGAGAATGAACAAAGACCTGTTGAAATGGTATACCAACGTGCACAAGAAGTGCACTCTCATTAAAAGTCTCATCAGGAAAGGGATCAGAAGAATGCAACACCACATAGCCCAAAACAGGACGGATAACAGCTGAACAAACTTTAGGCTCTTGTAACCCGACACATACTGGGGAAAACTGGAAGAGCAACACCTGGTCCTCTCCCCAATTACCCCTGAGGCCACGAATATTCCATTGTAAATAAGTCATTATTCACAAAGACAGGTATGCCAACAATGAGAAGCAATTATTATTATTATTATTACTATAATCAAAAAGAAGCACTAAACCTAGAAGGGTCATAGAGCGCTGATGAGAAGCAATAAAATCTATGTGCTAGTAGGGTCAGTAAAGTCAACGTGTAGAATCACCAGAGAGTGTGCAAACAAAGAGGAATCGAAATGCTGTGAAGGAAAAGATTACTACTAGAGTTGCAAAAAATAAGAAGGGGCAGAAGGAGGCCCACTGGTGTCCATCGAGGGTTTTGTCTCCATAATATAGTCGGAGATAGGGTCAAGTGTCTCAGCAGACAAGGAAGCTGCTGATACCATGACTTCAGAGACAGGTGAGTTAGAGCAAGTAGAGATCGGGGTGACTGTGGAGGGAACCAAAGAGCTCTGAGAGGGGAGGGGAGTATGAAAATGGAGAGATGCGCTGGCGGGGACAGAAGAGTCCTGTGGTGCAACAGGAGAGGAAGTAGGCTGGGAGGGGACTGGCAAAGAAGTCTGGGGTGGAAGAGGAGAAGAGGAGACCACACGAAGGGGGGTGAACCTCCACCTTTGTGTGAGAGTTAGAAAGGGGGTGAGAACTAGGCACCGAGGCCGATAAAGAAAACTGTTGGGAAATTGTAAGCAGCAGAGGAATGAGAAGAGACTTGGGTTTAGGAGACAGGTTCAACTTCGCAAGTGACAGGCGCAAAGAAGATGCAGACATGCGAGGCCTCACAGACTGAGAAACTAGCAGGCGAGAAGATGAAGAAGTAGAGGAAGGAAGAGGTAAGGAGGTGGGGGTTTCAGAGGGTAAAACTGCAAAAGAATTAGAGACAGGGGTGACCCCAGAAGACATAGCATTGGAGGAGCTGGTAGGCAAGGGGATCACCAAGGTTTGAGGTCTCCTAGCTACTCAAGAATATGGAACATGGGGAAGATTCCCCTAAAGGCAGAGCCGAGAGACAGCCATAGCATAAGCAAGACATTTGCTCTCAAGACAATGGATTTCACATTCATTACGATAGACCTGATATCAGCGGGAACAAGCAGGGTGAGTTTCGTTGCAATTAAGACAGGTGAGAGGAAGACTGCGAGATGTATTGGCATGATCTGC